TAATTAAGCACTGCTGAGTCAAGGTGATGTGCAGATCTAATTGCCTTCTCACTGCTTCACTGTGCTTGTGCACAGTCCTCTAATTTCATTTATAGAAATGGAAGGGTGGGAGAAAATCAGTTTTACCAGGTGGTTCAGGACGCATAACACATTTAAAATTAAAATGGAATGGAACAATCTGAAATAAAAAGACCGAGATAGCCCAGCCAAGGAATCTGTACTCTCAACCACAAAAACCTGTTATTGCTCATGTGGCCTAATTTAAGTGCATTCCTTTCAGCTTTCTTAAAATGCAGCTTCTCCAAATACACTAAGCCCAGCCAGCACAATCCATTTACTTGCTTTCATGAATGTTGCACAGGCTGTTACCCAGCTTTGCTAACAAAGAGAAGTCCAAAATCTGAGCATTTTCTTACAGCTGCAGGTACAACTGAGTTTACTTAGAGAGGAGAAGCAGTGATCCTGACTGGAACACAGATTGCAGCTTTGCAGAGCTCTGTATTTCATAACAAAGCTGTGTAAGGACCAACCCAGCTCAGCTCCAACCTACTGCAGGGCATGAGAATAAACTGCTAAAGTCAGGTATTGCCAACACTTGAATTATGCAAGTCTTGCAGGGCTGGGTGTCTGTCTTCAGCAGAATCAAAAATTTGCAAATAAATTTCTCTTTTCATTTAAAAACTTAAAGCAATTTCTGTCTCCTCTTCCTTAAACCTCATGATGACCAAGAAAATTAAAGAAAAAAATAAATAATAATAATAAAAAATATTAGTAGATGCACCCCAAAGGCTCAAAAACCTGGGGGAGAATAAGAACCTGTTTGTCTTTTAAGAAGTGTTTCATGACTTATAAGGTGGTATCTTGCTTATGGGGATGGGTGGATCTGATTCATTTTTTGATAGCTCGTGTTTGGCAGTAACGTTAACTTTTATTTACCTTGACATACAACTTTAATTTTTACTTTCCTACTGCAATCGTGTTCTTCCCCATGTAACAGGTTCTGCTAGTGGCAGGTGATTGCCAAATCTTTTTTTAGGGGGAAAAGCCAGTGCACAGTTGCTTATTTATTTATTTGCACTCGGAGTGGGTGGGGAAGATCGGCACACAACTTACTTGCACAAAGAAAAGAAATCTGAGGAACAAGCTTTTGAAATGCTTTGGTTTTCTTCTGCTGCAGAAACAGGAGAAGATATTGCAAGGCATGGGAATATGGGTATCCACAGAGGAAATATCCCAGAATAAATGAGACGCAGTTCTGCCTAAGGTTTTACTTCATCCAATTCATAGAGCTTCTCACTCAACCTCAGCAACCTATTCTCTATCTCAGCATTACAAATGATAGTGTCTCTTTCCTTCACAGCATGATTCTCAAGAAGGTTTTATTGTATTATGAAAGAAACTTGTAAGAAACTTTGTTCAATTTAGCCTATTAAGGCTTTTGTTTCTAAACACTTCAGTAAAGTTTCAATTGTTAAACATTTTCCTCCTGAAAAGACTGATTAACCTGCTTATATTCTTGTGTTCCCAGGTCATTAATTAAAAAAAAATAATCAAGGATGCTTATAAAGTCCTCTGCAATCCAATCTCAATTTGTCATCATTAATTAGTTCAACGTTGCATACAAATGAAGACCTAACTTGATTAGACAGCATGTTTTACTGGAATTCCTACTTAAGGTCATGAAAGACTTCAGAGAGAAAATCTGTAATATTATCAAAGTGAGCTGCTCATACATATGATATCACCCTCTCACCTAACTGCAGATAGCGTTTCTCTCTGCAGTTTTTGGCCATTTCCCCCCCAACTAATCCCCTAATCCCTATTTAGGAGCCCATTACAAACCTGAGCAGAGAAGCAATCCTGATGTTACACTCATCTCCCTCTCAGCCTCTCATATACAAATACTGCTGACTTGGCGAAGGGTGCCTGTTGTCCTGAGACAATAAACCTGCCCCATAGAAAGAGGCTGCAGAACTTGGAGGGGAGTTAGGGGAAACAAATATTTCAGGGCAATTTTTGGAGACATAGCATGTACTCAGTGAGTATCCTGTGTTTCCCCCATCTCCAAAAGAAGCAACCTTGGGATCTACACATGATTCCAGATTACCACCTCCAAAGCACACAGACCAGGAGCTACATAGCTAAATGCACAAAGTAGCTGAGAAATTTGAAGCATCTTCACAGGTCTCTAATCCTCCCATGAAAGCAGCTCTTGCTTTTTAGAGAAATAAACCAGCCCTTTTACCGAGCCCACAACCTTCACTCCCATGACCTAATCTGACATGACTCAGCCCAGAAGCTCAAAGGAGCTCCAGTGAAGCATGCTGCCAGCCAAGGCAGTAGATCCCCTGACAGTCACCACCAAACCTTCCCAGCATGGCAAAGTCAGTCAGCCTGGCTCATCCTCTCCCCAAAAGGGAAAAATACAATACATTGCGTTCCTTTACTTAATACTGTTAGCCTGGGGAATGGCAAGAGGGATAAAAAAAAAAAAAAAAAAAAAAAAGCCAAGAAACAAGGCTTTCAAGTTTTGGACTCTTAATAAGGGTGGGGCCATCAAGTAATTAAACTTTTAATAGGTCACTGCAATGGAAGAAACTCTTCCAGTTGGGTAAGTTCCTAATCCATCATTAAAAAAAGACGACAGGCATTAATCAAAGCATATGAAGTCACATGGGGGGGATGAGCAACTCTGAGAACTTGCTGTTGCCGAGAGGATGGGGAAATCACTCCTCCTTTCATCAACATTTCATGCATGTTTCCACATTTCTCAGGACGGCAGCAGGAAAGAGAGCCTTCACGTCCTTCCCCACCCACCCCACTGATAAAGCTGTCGAACGCATATTACCAACTGCTCAAGAGCCCATGTGAAATGAGTTGGTGGATTAATTAGCAGAAGGGCAGAGCTCTGAAGATAGAAAGATGCTCTACTGTGAAAGGCATATTGATTGAAGGTCCCCAGCCACCACCATGAGACTGTCATCACCCACTGCCAACATATAGCACACTACCAGCTCCTGCATGAGCAGCTAAATCTAGGTCACTTAGCTCAGTGCAGGGACACCTGGACCACACTTACTCATCCCTAATCAGAGAGCTGTTTGGGAGCCCAATCCTTTAGTAAAATACACAAATTTAAACCTAGACAGACTGCAACAGGCACAGGGAGCACGCTATCTGCTGGTAGCATGGTCCACATCAGAAAAGGAGGGGAAGCAAAATGTGTTTTCCCCCAGGTTGCACATGTTTGGCAACTGTAGTCACCAAGGAATAATTTTATTTATTTTTCAAAGACAGCATGTAATCTGATCTTTGACTACTACCTCTATCCCAGAAAACCATTATCACTGCAGTGCAACATCTGAAGTGCTTGCTTAACTTTAAGCCTGCAAGTAGTTCACTTGTCTTCAGCTTCGCTGGAACAACCTACTACATACGTTCAAACCTCATTTCAAAACACCGCTTTTAGTAGTTGAAAGGACAGCATCAAAAGCTCTGGTTCCCTGCAGCTGTGATAGACAATTCTTTGTACCATATGTATCAAAAGAGAACAACTTTTCATATTTCCTTCAAAGGGCCTTCAGAACAGCCTGCAAAAATCCCAGGGCAGCATTTTCTTGCTCTGAGAAATGACAAGTAGAGCTGACCAACATTTTCCTTACCTAAAGGTAAGCAAAAATACAGCATACAGTGCAAGGGGAGAAACTTGGACATGAAAAGAAGTGTGAACTGTAGCGGGGTATCACTGCCAGTACAGATAATGAAAACATATTTTAACCTCACTTAAAAATGTTTCACCCTTTGACATGCAAACAAACGAAAAATTAGGTCTTGAGCAGACCTATCAAATTTTAGCCCCATTTAACACAATTTTCTGAACAAAGTTATTGTTACCAATTTTAGATAAATTTTACCAGAAAAGGCTTTTAAAATATGCATAACTCAGTGATTTATTATTATGTGGCAGATTGGAGCATATGGGCTAGCTTATTTGCTAGTTGCAATACCAGCTAGCTTGTCTTTAAATTTGAGCTGAAAGTAGTTCTTCAGTTTAAAAAAGAAAGAAAAAAAAATGGTCTTAGCTTTTGGTAGAAAGTGTATCTTTTCTACTTAATAAAGTCTCTGAGTCCCTGCTTTTATTTAGGTAGCACAGGGTAAGACATTATTCACTGCACCTACTCCAAACGCCTGAAGGAGAGGAAGGCAAATATTGAACGTTTTTAAGACAGCAATATTCTCCATCACAAACATCTCTACTCTAGAGCCATGAACTGCAAGAGGATGTTTGGCTCCAGACACACTGTGTCCTGGGCTGTGAGATTTCTAGTGCTGGAACAACCAAGCTGGCTCCACCACAAATCAGGAGCTGGGCTTCACGTTTCAAGCTCCATACTTTTTCTTTTTTTCATAAGAAAGGTACTATTCTGATGGCAAGAGCAGAGCATTAAGAAATAAATAAACATATGCAAATAACCCAAATACCACAAGGCTGAGCAAAGCTCACAGGGGCTCCTGCACCAGCTGCAAGAGGGAAGGATGTGGAGAAAAAGCCCTGCACTCTATGGGTTAGAGAAAGGAGCACCACCTCTGTCCTTGTGGCACAGCCCACATGCCCAACCTCATGCAAACCCGTGAATGCTGAAGAAATCCAAGGCAAGTGGTGAAGCCATGCTTATGCCTGCCTCATGTTTTACTCAGGCATACCTCCTAGACCCAAAAGGAGAGCCACTGTTTCATCACACATGGACTTTATGTGACTGTCATTTTGCAAGGCATTTTATTCACCTGGGATTTAGTGTTATTATTGAGGGTTAAATTCCCACCACACCCTCCCAGAGCAGCCAAGATAAATCTCTCTCTTGTGTGTGACATGTCATGCACTGAAGAGAACATGGGTCACTCTGTTCTTGCATAAGCCTGGCTATGTATCATATGAATAATGTCACCACTGGCATCGGAACTGAAGCCAGATAAGGAGCAAAGTGATGCTATGTCCTTACCGTCCATGTTGCTGACTTTGCTGTGCTAGACTGTTGAAATGATACATCAAAGCTGTGAGGTCCTGGGTAGTCTGTGTTGGAAGGGATGGCTGGGGAAGGTGAGAGGGCATCAAAAGTCGAGCTGGGCTGGGCATAAGGCGAAGGGGCTGTGACACTGTTCTGTGCGTGCTCAGTGTTGTAGGGGCTGGTGGAGGAAGAGCCATTCTGGATCTGCTGGTCCATGCTGTTCAGGAGCCCCAGGTTCGTGTACTGCGGCTAGAGACAAAGAGATACACAGGCATGTTACAGAAGAAACATTAGCACAGGCTGGCAAGCTACCGCATGGCCTTCACAATGGAGGATGCACAGCATAATCTCAGCACCATCATATATGTGTCACACTAACAGAAAGGAGATTTGCAAAGGATATACCTCTTTTTTACATTGGTGACTGAAACAGAAAAAGCACAGCTTCTCACAGTCACACAGTGGATCAACAGCCAAACCGGGAAAAGAGCTTGCATATAACATGGATGTGATTCACACGGCAGCAAGTCATCTCAAGATGATAGAGTCCCTTTGGAAACACCCAGAAAGAGACCGTTTTGGAGGGACCTGACAAAAATCACTAGGTTCCTTATAGTGCAACCAGCTCTAACTTGTACAAGGCTACATCTGACGGTCTTGTGCTCTACACAAAGATTGCTCCTCTTCTTGCGGATCTGATCCTGCTATGCCCATAGACATTTAGGACCTCTGACTCGGGCAGTAACTGCCCTGAACGCTCACTGGAGAAAGGTTCATAGCACTTAACCAGATTGCACTATGCACTCCATTCCCAGTGGCCAGTCACAGACAGTAGTAGAGAGGAATTAAAGGCCTCATCAAGTAGTATGGAAGCCCACAGCATGGAAGGCTTCCCCACATACTTCAGAAGTAGCAGTTCTACTGTGTGTAGCACATAAACGAGTAGACATGGTTGTGCCTCAAAAGTAGCCTTCAGGTACAAAGAACATATGAAACAACTGAAGACATCAAAAACAGGCTAGGGAACAGAGCATAGATTAGGGAGAGGTTAGCAGAAAAACAACATGCCTAATGCCCTCAGTTCTATACGTAACCCTGGTCCCCCACCTCAAAGAGATGAGAAGGGAACAAAGTTCAGAAAAAGGTGGCAAGAATCAGCAAACCCTTTCAATGCCTTCCTGTAATACAGCAGTAGATTATGACTTTTCAGCCTGGAAAAGACAATGAAATGAGAGGTGGAACTTTACATGATAGAAGTGAATAGATTTATAAATGATATGGGAAAAGGTAAATAGGAAATTCATTTTCATGATCTCCCAATAGAAGAGTTAGAGAACACGGAGACATCCTGAGCAGGATTTTGGTTAAAACACACACAGAGTTGTTCTTCACAAAGCCCACAAATAAACCTGAATTTTCTGCCACAAAATGCTGCGGATACTAAGTCTGCATAAGTTCAAAAAAGCATTGGACAAGTTTTGCTTGAGAAAAATCTATCAAGGCAAGCATATCCGATTTAAAAATTCTGAACCACAAACAGTTGGAAGCTGGGAAAGTTCTCTGGGGAAAGAAAGTTACACCCTGCTTTTAGACCTCCTAAGTACCCGGTACTAGCCACTAAGACAGGGCAGCAGGAGGGCAGTACGCATGGAGTTCAGCCAGGTACACTAGTCTCGTTCTTGTGTGTGCCCAAAGGGTGTAGTTTGTGCTCAGGGAGAACAGCATCCAGAAGTTTGTGGTACCCATCCCCAACAGCTCTGGGATCAACCAGGGACACAGAGCAGTAAAACACACCTGGTTCTGCTGTTGGCTGCTGACATGGCAGAAGGGACTCTGGTTATTCCCCTTGCCTAGGTACCTCATTTCCCTCCACATCCTACAGCTTCAATCCCACCCAGAGCCATCAAGCTCACACGTATGTTAGTATTTCAGCCAATTTCTCCTGACTTCCCTCTTCTTTCCAACAGTTGCTTCATTTCCAGAGACAGCTTGATATTATCAGCCAAGCAGCAAAGGTTCCTTGAGTCAGAGTACCAACTTCAAGACTTGTAACAAAAAGCTTTCCCAATACTGGGAATCCCACCAGCCCTGTGGAAGCTTTGAGAAGCACACCATCAGTCTTCCATGGGCCTGAAAAGAAATGGCAGAAGCTATCATCTGAACTCCCCAGGGACTGTGGACAAGCCATTTAACACCCAGCTTTGCCAATCATTTCAGCCATGTAGGAAAACAGGCTGATCGCTGTGCAAGGATGAAGTGCCCTCCCTATGCCCAAATACTCTGTGATCTCGGCTGGCCTTCCACAAAAGGAGGAAGTAGAAAAATTTAAATTCCAACTAGAGCTCTTCCTTAGGTTACTGTCTGTTTCATTGGAAGAGGCTGATATTTTATGGAGTTTTATTTAAAAACTCAAGATGAGGCTGGGGCTCTGTGGTCTTCAGTGAAGCACATAGGACCTTCCAGAGATGGATCAGCTTGCTCCTATAAGCTGTGGTGGGAAGGAGGAGGTCTGGTGGGGAACAGCACAGAGGACTTCATTTTGGAACATGGGATGGTCTGCAGAGAGAATCAAGAGCGGGTTCCCTCCCTTGATCTGTCAGCAACAGGCTGTGTCCTTGGGCAAGCCACCTCACCTTCCTCTCCACCCTCAACCTACTTCAGGCAGCAAAGTCTGCAGGGCAAGGATTGCTCCTTACTATGTAAAAAGCGCCCTGCTTAATGGGCCTCTGTTTTGTCTGAGGCCTTTAGGCAGCAGAGTAATAAAAGCAATTACATATTGAGTCCTAATTCTGGGTGAGCCAGTGACTCTGCGTGTTGCCTCAGGTTAGTCATTTGTCCTCCCTGCCTCAGTTTCCCCATCTATAGGAACAAGGATGTTATAAATGCCCAGCACCCCCGTTCTATGGGCAAACAAGTATCTGCAATTGGACTCAAAAGTATGGTAAACAGTTGACATAGGAGAAAACAATCCAGACTGGTGGTTCTCCAAAAGAAGACTGCAGCTTTGGCAATGCAGATGACAGTTATGTCTCACCTCCTGCAGGCTATTCAGCCAGCCAAGACCTATTTAACGGGCTTCTGGTATGTGTCTTTCCTTGAGGCTAATTCTGTACAGAAGGAGACAGAATGCTGATGTACTGCATGATGTACTGCCTTTTTTCCAGCTCAGTAATTTTGTATTTAATAAAAAAACAAATCTCCCTGCCCTCCTGCCCAAGAATACTCTAATAAGACCTGAAGACTTCTCAAAAATGTAAAAGTATCACTCAGTTGTTTCATTCCTCATGGAGATTGCTATCAGACACACTCCCTAACCAGCAAATGATGAAAAGGCAGCTGTGATGAAAACAGCCTCCTAAAACAGCTCAGACATACAGACAACAAAACAGTAGTGTTTCAGCTTTCACTTAAAAGCTATTTCTTCTAATCCCAGGCTACTAAAGATGATGGAGAAAGATCATCAAATGGGCAGTTGGTGTTAACAGGATTGAACAGCTTGGAAACGCTGAAGGTGCTGCCTGGAAGTAAAGCCAAATAAATAAATAAATAAATTGCCGCATTAAAATTTAAGCTATTCCTAAGAGAATCAAAGATCCTTTTCATTCCTTTCAGTCCAGGGACCATCTGTCTAAATGTTACCAGTGGAGCAGCCATTCCACTGCATTTAATACACTCACATGCCACAGCCGAATGCCATGTCCCCATTTACTCTTTAAATAACTATTAATCTCCTTGCACTTATCCTCACTCTGACATAAGCAGCTGCTGGACTCCCCTTCTCCCCCTCTAAGTCCCACCAGCCTGGCCCCTTGCTCCCCTCCCCAGGCAGGTGCTCCGTTCCAGTGACAAAGCCAGTCACTGGGTTTGCACACACACGAGCACTAACCCTCGTCTCGAAGCTATGCCCCAAGGCAGGGGGAGAGTTGTTTGCGCTCAAGGGGTCAACATCTGAATTGCTTGCAAGGCTTTTGGAGGAATCAGATAAGGCTTTTGGAGGCACACGCCTTCTGACAACACAACAATTAGAGGGGCAGCAGGCCCGGCAAAGGCGTGCGCAGGAATTCACCGGCTGCAATAAAACCCCTTCGCCCCAGACACACTGTGGATGGCGAAAACAAAGAGAACAAGGAGCTGCTGGCACGTCTGCAAGACGTTGTTCTCCAAGAGGGGTCTGCAGGGTGTGTGTGCACACACACATCCTCCTTTCACCATTTACAGAAACACAACAGCATTTAATTCAGAAGTCAATTCTCAACAGGCTGGCAGCCCAGAATTTAGCACATGCTCATGTTCTGCTGTGGTGTTGTTTAAACACCTGCAGGATGTAGTCCCACCACCAGTTTCTGGCAGAAGGAAAATGCCATTTGGTGGAGAGAAATGCAGGCAAAGCTGAGAGAAAAGACTATCTAATTTTCAGTGCTTATGTTCTTACCATCAAGTTTCTGAAACTTGTTAATATCATTGAGGCATTACAGAAACCTTCAGGTAAGCTTAACTGCCAATTATTAGAGAGCTACAATTAAATCGAAGACTATGTATTTTGGAACATTGTTTCAAAAATGTATCTTGAGCTTTCAGTTTCTCTTCTACCTCTGATCAGCTTCACTTTCAGGTTTTCATACTAATTCACACTTCTAGACTGGGAAAGTCATGGTTTCACTGGAGAGCCTGCTGAATTAAAACCCAGACCGAAAACTGCAAAACTGTTTAATAATTTGCTGGGAAGACAGATCTCCCTAACTAATGTGGTGGACAAGAAGAAATCCTCCTGACCCCAGCGGCACTGGGTCACTTGCCACAAGAGGGCAATGCAAATGCTCCACCATGCATGTAGGTTCTGATGTGCCAGGGAAGACTCCCCAGCACACTCAAGTTGGGGCCCTTCTTTTCCTGCCCTTTAGCAAAAGCTCAACCCAATTCTTTGGTCACAGCCCGCTTTTAAAGCCGTTGTGTTAATCAATAAGAGATCTGCAATGGGACACACACCCACCAGTATGAAAGCACAAGGCAAGTAACACAAGCGAAGAAAAGTTCTCAAGGGGACTTCCGTGCTAAAAATCCCCTAAAATATACAGCTCCCGCTTTTAACCACCCAGTTATCAACATTTCAAAGATAGTTTTGAGAGTTTCTCCACTTGAGAAAATAAAGGAAAAGTTACCGTCTTCAGGTGTAGAACACTTGGATGCCTCCACCCCTACCAAAATCCTTCTCTGTATCAGCAAAAGAATGCACATCCATGTTGTGCACC